CACTCGGGTGTCGATATATTAGTGGTCCTTGTTTATGTGGATGATCTCATCATTGCCGGAAATAATCCGGCCCGTTGCTCTACCTTCAAATCCTACCTTGCTAGTTGCTTCAAGATAAAGGATCTGGGCTCACTAAAATATTTTCTGGGCCTCGAGGTTGTCCGCACAACAGATGGCCTGTTTCTTTCCCAACGCAAATACACGATAGAGATTTTATCCGATTGTGGCCTCACAGCAGCGAAACCAGCCACATTTCCTATGGAGCAGCGGACCCACTTGGCAGACTCCACGGCCCCATTCCTCACGGATCCGGAACGTTTTTGTCGTCTCATTGGTCGTCTCCTCTACTTGACCATTACTCGTCCCGAGTTATGCTATTATGTTCACCTCCTTGCACAGTTCATGCAGCAGCCGCGGGAGAGTCATTGGGATGCCGCCACACGCATACTACGTTACTTAAAGCACAGTCCGGGCCAAGGTATCTTTCTTCGACGACCAACTTCATTAGAGTTAGTTGGTTACTGTGACTCTGACTGGGCCAGTTGTCCAGTCACGCGGACAAGAAATTAATAACTTTTATTTGACATCCTCGGACAAGATGATATATGTGAATTAAATTTGATGTCGTAATTTTGTATCGACTTCTATTAGAGAGGAATTATGTTATGCTTGTTATATTAGATTAATTTGTAGGGTAGTAACAAATCTCTTGTTCATTGTCCATTGAGTATCCGATATCTTTCTTTTGTTCCTTGTTATAGTGTTGTAGTTGTTCCACACTTCCATATATTAGACGAATTCTCCACATTGTCGAATAATTATTTTCGTAACCAACAGAGCAATGCGTTTAAAAAGAAGTTTTGAAAAATAATCATATGGTTAAAGTTTTAGAACCAAATAAATGCGACAACACCAGTGCACTGTGCACAACACAAATATCTACCAAAGCAAAAGCATCCACAAACATATCAATTGGTCTTATTATTCTTAGTAATAATACAAAATTGAATTATTAAAATTCTCTACTATAACAAATCATTAAAGATTAATGATAACCCAAACTGAGCTCTTACATAATTATAAAAAATTGAACATAATTATAAATTAAATTTGGTTCGGTTGTGCGTGCACAGTGGAATGACCACTAGTATATATAGATATATAGATACGTATCACAATACACACGTGATGTGTGTGTACTTCTATGCGGGTTATATGTAAAACTCTACTCTTCCGAATCTATCCGCTATCCATTTATTGGCATTCGGGTTGATTTTTTTATGTATTTTTTTTTGTACGAGCCAACAATAGGGTTCGAGTAGTATAATTGAGCCCGAACCTGACCTAAAGAGTCAACATCTCAACTTTAATTATTCTATGATAGGATGCTTAGATACAAATTATTTTAAAACATCTAATTATTTATTACTAACGTTAATTCAATCTCATCATACCCAATATTATTATTAAATCATTCTTACACATTACATCAAATCAGGAGCGAAATTACTTGTTGTTATAGGGGGGCAATTGCCCCC